CGCGAGCGCAGGGGGCGAGGCCGGGCCGGCGAGAGGAGCGGCCCCGCGGGGTGCGCGCCGCCTCCGACGGCGCCCTCTGGCGGCGAGCGAGAGCAGCGCCCGCTGCGGGAGGCCCTCGAGGAGAAGCAGGCGAGGGGAACCGCGACCCGGTGGAGACCCAAGCCGCTGTGGGAAGGTGATGGAGAAGAGTCAAGGCCATGGCGGTCCGACGGAAAAGAGCCCAGAGGGGTGTTTAAAGGTCGGAACCCAGATGGCGCTTTCGGAGGACGCCGCCCTCTGGCGGCGAGCGAGAGCAGCGCCCGCTGCGGGAGGCCCTCGAGGAGAAGCAGGCGAGGGGAACCGCGACCCGGTGGAGACCCAAGCCGCTGTGGGAAGGTGATGGAGAAGAGTCAAGGCCATGGCGGTCCGACGGAAAAGAGCCCAGAGGGGTGTTTAAAGGTCGGAACCCAGATGGCGCTTTCGGAGGACGCCATGAAGGAGGACGGCCCTCCGTTGAGGGGTCCTGAGACGGACGCCTGGACGACTCAGGGCGTCGGAGCCCGCAAAGCCGGACCTGGGCCTGTGGCGGAAGCTGCCCGTGGGCGTTGGCTCGGGCGCCGGTGCTCGGGAGGCTGCAGGACCCACCGCTGATTGGCTGTGGAGTCAGGCGGAAGTGATGCTGCTGTCACTGGCTCCTTGGGCTCCCGGGAAGCCGCGAGTTTCCGCAGGGAGGCAGCAGCGGCTGCGCCCCGGCGGGTAAGTAGGTGTGCGGGACTGGACTTGGGAAATCCGGGTAGCCCCGGACTGGGGGCGGTCGGAGCCTGAGGAAGAGGCGCTGCACCGAGGGCACCTTGGGTCCTGGCCGGGGAGACTCCAGCGGAACGGGGCCTCGGGTCTTGGGTTCCGGGACTGTATGAGTCCTATTGAGAGAGGGGCGCGTTGCACAGAGTAGCCACCGGCAGGGGACGTCAGTGAAATGAGCCTTGCATTGACCTGGCTCCTGTGAGCTGGGCGGAGAGGATTTGAAGGACAGTGGCTTGAGAGCAGAATCTTGGGCAGGAGAGGTGCACTTCTTCCTTGATAACTAAAAGTTGTGAAGATAGGCCTAGCAGTTGGGGGAAATGGAGATTTACTTTAAGAAAGTATTGTAGATTCTTGCCCCGAACCCTGGGAATAAAAGTGCTGCTGTGCCCCTTGGAGGCAGGAAGAACTGGGTTTCTCTTCCAGAAAGAGATTGAAAGATTCTGCCAAGTGGGCTGCCTATCTAACCACATTCTCGCTTTACTTATATGCATGCAGACTAGGGAAAACAACTAAATATATTGGGACAATTCAAGGGAACTCCAGGGTAGGGAGGAATGTAATCAAGGAATATGCCTGGGAACTTAAGGGCATGGTGGCCAATGTCTGTCATCCCAACACTGAAGAGGTTGAAGCAAGAGGATCATGGATTTGTAGCCAGCCTTAGCTACGTAAAAGATCCAGTTTGGGGGGAAAAAAATCAAACAAAACAAAGTAAAAGGCTAGGTGAATGGAGAACTTTGGAGAGAAGTGTTAGGTGGCATAAGTTCTCTCCCTTTCCAAGGAGTCTTTAGTAAAACAGAATGGCTCTTCTAGAATGTTTTATGTTGGCTCCATTTGGGTGTGTCTGGGTGCTAAGCCTGCTCCAGGGTGGACTTGGTAAATAACAGTCTTTTAAAGGAGCCCAGGCACCCACATCTACCTTCTCCCTGTCCCCACAGTTGCTTTGTAGTTCTAATTTGGCTGTTTTCCTTTGAGTAGTTGAAGGCCAGATCTGGAGCCTGTGCCCTCACTTTCAGGCCAACTTGGTAGCCAAGTGACAGGGGCAGCTCTTTCGTACTTCCAGGTCATTTTCTCTTTCCCAGTTGCCCACTTGCCCTTTATGCTGGCTCAGTTTTGTTCTCATTATCTGACTTTCTACCTGATTTCCCCTGTCTGGGATTTTAGGAACCACTTTTCCTGCAAGTGGAGGGTGCTAACAATTAGGTCCTCTAGAGGAGCAAGTGAGACAAGAATTGATAGGGTGAGAAGTGTGGTGTCTGGGTTTTGTACTGATGTGGCCTTACTGTGCCAGACATATTCCAGGCTATGACCTTTTAGATCTGTGGAAATGAAACTTACCACTGATTGCTGCTCCTGGACTTCATGGCTAGCTTCTTGCTCTGCTGGGTTTGGTAGGACACCATTTCTTCTGTCCTTGGCTCCACAGGTCTGCAGCCTGTGTTCCTAGTCAGCACTGCTCACAGTGAAGGTGACACCTTTCCTCCAGTTGCACAAAATGAGTGTGATATGGTTACCCAGACCAGGAGCTCAGCCTCACAGAGAGCCCAGGTGGGAATGGGACCCCATTGTGGGAGTTAGCTCTGGAATAACTGGACTGAGAAGTCAGCTGGGGAAAGATTTATGCAGTCTCTAAGTAAGGGGGAGGTGGGATCTTGATGCTGCAGGTCATTCTTGGGAGTGACATGTACTTTGCTGTGAGTAGCCTGAAGCGCATGAGAACTGGATGATGCCAGACCGTTGGGGAAGCAGGGATTGGCCCATCCTGCCATGGAAGGTCATCAACTGGGATTAGTGCTGGCTCATACTTCACCTGGGGCTTAGTTTTTTGATTAGAAGCAAATGTGATAATAAAATGACTAACCATTTGAAAGAAGGTTGGGGTTTCCAAGGGGAACATGCTGATGGCCCACAGTTACCCTATGAGTATCCTGAGCTTATTGGCTCTGACATCTCTGATATCCTTTCCCTTTGTCTGCAGCCTGCTGTTCTGATGCCGAAAGGGAGGCAGAAAGTCCCACATTCGGATGCCCCCCTGGGCTTGCCCACCTGCCCCTGGCTAGAATTAGCTGGGCTCTTCTTACTGATTCCCTTGGTCATGGGCCTCTCAGGGGCAGGTGGGCCTGACACCCTGGGTGCAGGGGGGCTAAGCTGGGCTGTACACCTGGACAACCTGGAAGGCAAGAGGGAGGAAGAGAGTCTGGCACAGCAGGCAGATGCCGTGGCCCAGGCAGCAGGGCTGGTGAATGCTGGTCGCATCGGAGAGCTCCGGGGGCACTACCTCTTTGTCCAGCCAGTTGGGCACAGGCAAGCTGTGGAGGTGGAAGCCATGCGGCAGCAAGCAGAAGCTGTGTTAGCCAGGCATGAAGCTGTGCGCTGGTACTCAGAACAGAGGCTGCTGAAGCGGGCCAAGCGCAGCATCCACTTCAATGACCCCAAGTACCCTCAGCAGTGGCACCTGGTAAGTCCAGCCAGATGAACAGGGTGTCTGCTCTTGTGTGCTTTTGACTGAGTCCTTCTCCAGCTGCCCTGTTTGACTGAGGGAGTACTTTTGTACAGTGGGAATATAGTTTGCTCTCAGTTCCTGCCTTCCTTGACTGCTGTGGAGAGCAGGTATGCTATAGTGCTCAGGGTATATGTGCTACTGCCACATTGCCCAAGCTCCTGTTCTAGGCGTCTACTTCCTAGCATGTGCCTTTGGCTAAGTTGCTTCACCTCATCTGTGTCTCAGTTTCCCCACCTGTAAAGTAAAGATTGTAACAGTACCCGCCTCATAGAGTAATGGTTAAGATAAATGAGTGTATATGTGAAGCACTTAGAACAGTGCTTGATACAGGAAGACCCTGCTCCATTTTGGATAACTGCTAGCATTATTGGGATAATAATTGTCTACTACTTAGCCCTAGCTACCATTTCACCCTGGGTCTCCCACCTTGGAGACCAAGGCAGGAGGCAAGACTTTTATTTGCCCTTCTGGCCTCTGTTCTCCACTGACCTGTTGGTCAGTAGCCTCTGTTTGGCTTCTTGGTGGAAGCTAAGGGAAGAGGCTACCAGCTGTAACTTGTCTATCTCTGGGCTCTGCTGTGTATCATTGGATTTTCCTGTCTCTTCTACAGAATAACCGGCGAAGCCCAGGCAGAGACATCAACGTGACAGGTGTGTGGGAGCGCAATGTAACTGGGCGAGGGGTAACAGTGGTGGTAGTGGACGATGGAGTGGAGCACACCATCCAGGACATTGCACCCAACTATGTGAGTGGCCTAGAATGACCCCTTGCTGCCACATCTCCCTTCTCCTTGATATTCCTTCTTCTCCCCTTTCCTAGAGGGCACTGAGCCAGTTCAAACAGGCTGGGAAGTGGGATGGTGTTATTCCACGTTCCTTTCACAGTCAGCTTTCCAGACTGGCAATTAAGGCTTAGAAGGTGACCAGCCCAGAGGGAGAGCAATGGCAGGCAATACTTCCTGCTTCCTGCTGCTGCTCCTTTCTCTGAGGAGCAAGAAATGGCTCTGTGGCAACTGCCTTGTCTGCAGAGGTTCTGAGAACTTTCTTCTAAGGTGTGACTTTAGATAGAGTTTGAAATACCTTTTTTCCTGGGCTTCCTTCAAGCAGGGGTTATGATCCTTTAACAGGCAAGAGAGGTTTTCTGAGAGCTGTGGCCCTTCTCAGTTTTGCCCCAGTGTCCTTGGCTTATATCTCATAGCCCTTGTTTGCACAGGGCGATGTACTTGCTACTCTGGCTTAGAGGAAACTCCCAGTTCTTTGCTCTCCCTACTGTTTAGGAATTGATCCCTTCTAACCAGTAAGTAACCGCCTTAATGTTTCAGAGCCCAGAGGGTAGCTATGACCTCAACTCTAATGACCCTGATCCCATGCCCCACCCTGATGCGGAGAATGGTAACCGTCATGGGACCCGGTGTGCAGGAGAAATTGCTGCTGTGCCCAACAACAGCTTCTGTGCAGTGGGCGTGGCCTATGGAAGCAGAATAGCAGGTAACTCATGCTTCCCCTTATAGCCTTGGGAGACTCCTGGGGTACAGTGCTCATTCCCTACCCCTTCCTCATTCTGAAATTTTATTTTCCTACCCCCACAACATCTGTAACATAGAGCAGGAGATAAGCACATAACAGAATGATTAGCTCGTTGGCTTTTCAGGGCTATGGTGTTTCAAATAGGCTCTTTTAGCAGCATCCTATATATATTATATATATATGTATGTATATGTATATATGTAATATATATATGTACATATGTTTATTGAAATAATTGCTTATAAAGTTTTTAAAACCTAATTAGGTAACTGGTAAGTGCATACCAAATTAGGAGAACAGTCAGAAATGTAAAACCGAATCCCAGTTTATATAAAACTTTCCTCAAAAGATGTCACTTTAACAACTCATTTCAATTGTAGAATAGGTAGCTTATCTTTAATTCACCTCCATCTTCTTTTTTTATTATTTTTTTAAAATTTTTTATTTTTATACCCACTTCCCAGATAGCACCCTCCCATAGCCTCCCTCCCCCCACTAGAGCCCTTATACTCTGATATCCCTGCTACTGTCTGCTGTGTTGTCAACACCCCCAGCCATTCCCCACTACTTGCCCTTCTGGTGAATCTAGTCAGCCTATCTAGAGGTCGTTGTTTTAGGAAGGTCAGCTGTTTCTCATCTAGCAGTAATCAGTTGTCAATATTCCTTTGGATAAGATTGGGGTCTGCTGTTCATTTTCCCAGTTCTATGCTGGGTTACTATCTGGGAGTCCCTTTGGCCACCCTGCCAACAACTCAAAAGAAGGTATCTCCTGTCTGGCATTGTTGCTTGCTATGTGGACTTTAGCTATACATATGGACTCTTATGAAATTATATTGGCCCCTTTAATCTTTGGTTATACTTTCCTTTTGGGTGTTTAAGGCCATACATTTGGTCCAGATAAACCAATTTGTTTTTGCTCTTAAGGTCGTTTGAGGATCTGTTCCTCAAGGGTCACATGGTCTTGGGAGGAGCAAGGAGCATCCTATATTTTTATAATATAAAATAGAAATAAAAATGAAAATCATGGTGTGGGCTAAAAGCCCCAAGTCTCACCTGCTCAAGTCTCCTTCCTGTTTCTGATCATGGCTATACCCACCAGTGACTCACATCACTGTAACAACGCCTTTGACTTCACTATGTTGAACTCATGTTTTTGTAATTTACAAAGTGCTTTCTCATCAGTTTAACCCTCCATGATCCCATGTCTGTGGAGGCTCCCCTCTCAATCCCATATCTCCAGCCCTTGTCCTACTGGCTACCACAGTTGTTCTCCATTCTTTCAAGAGAGAACAATCCCCAATTGGAGGTCATTCTGTGATTTTTCAACTCTGTCTTGGGGATCAAGGCAGAAGGGATCAGAGCCCTCCCCCTGATTCCTAATGAAAACCTGGGAACCTGCAGACCTAGGAGACTGGCTGCAATCATCTTATTCTCCAGCAGGGGGCTTCAGCACTCTACAGAGTGCTACAGGGGAGGCCAGAAAGGTTCAGGGTCCAAGGCCCTTCCAAAAACCCCATTCCTCCCTGAATACATTGTCACCAAGATGTGACCTACTTCATTTTAGAGGGAGAAATTAGGTCTCACTGGGAGTAGCACTGGTAATGAGTGCTCTTCACCTAATACCTTTACTGTGTCCAGCACTAAGCTAGGTGTTTCATGTAGAAAGATAAGAGGGGAATCTTGGTTACCTATAGTCTAGTCTGACTCTTCCCACCTCCTAGAGTCATTAAATCTGAGTTGAGCTTGATAGTGAAAGACAAGTTTGAAAGCTAGGCATTGTGGCACATACTTGCCTACCCATAATCTCAGAACTTGGAAGTAGAGGCAGGAGGATCTGGGGTTCAAGATAATCCTCTGCTACATAGTAAGTTGAAAGCAAGCCTGTGCCACCATATATGTGGTGTAAGAATTCAAAGTACAAAAGAGGGACTAGGGAGATAGCTCAGTCACTAAAGAGCTTGCCATACAAGCATGAGGACCTGAGTTCTATCCTCAGCCCCTACATAAAAAGCTGGGCATGGGTGGATGCACTTGTAATTCCAGCACTGGGAAATCCAGGGAAGTAGCGATAGGCAGATCCCTGGGGCTTGCTTAACTGGTAAGCTCCAGGTCCCAGTGAGAGACCTTATCTCAAAGGAAAAAAAGGTAGATGGCTACTGAAGTATACCTGATGTTGGCTCTAGTCTCTGTATTCATGCATTCATGCCCACATATATGTGCACCCACACTCATGAAACATGCATACACACAAAAGTATAGAAGAACAAACAGAATAAGTCTCCCATGTGTACCTCCCCACCATCTGGTCCCACGTGGGTGAACCAGCACTGTTAGCAATTTCCTGTGGGGCCAGCATCAGTGAGGAGCTGGTGTGCCTTCAATGCCTAGGTATCCGAGTACTGGATGGACCGCTCACAGACAGCATGGAGGCTGTGGCATTCAACAAGCACTATCAGATCAATGACATCTACAGCTGCAGGTGAGAGGCCAAGAGACTGGAGTCCCTGGAATTCTCCAGCAATAGTACAGCCAAACAGGCTGCTTTGAGCCTAGCAAGGGCTCTTGGTTGGGCTTAGCTAATAAGGCCATTTCCCTCATTTATCTAGTTCCCTAGCCACTGGGTGCTTGGTCTTAAATCCCTGTCACCCCAGTAGTCAGGTTGTCACATGAAGAGTGCCCCAGCCTTTCCTACCTTTATTGTCTAAACTCACAAGGCTCTTGGGAGAAAGTGGGCTTTCTTCTTTAGCCACAGGTGAGCTGAACTCAGTTCCACCATGCAGAAATACACATGAAGCTTCAAGCTATGGATATGGTGATTAGATAAGGAGGAATTAAGGTTCGATGGCCCCCATGATATTGATGGTACCTGTATCTCCCTCTAACTAGTACCTCCCTTAAATTCTTGACTTACTAACATTTTTTATTTTATTAGTCTATACGGGGGAGGTGAGAGGCACACATGCACCAGAGTCAGAGGACAATTCTATGGAGGCTTTTCTTTCTTTCTACCCCTTACATGGGTTGCAGAGATTGAACTTGGGTCACCAAACTGGCCTAGCAAGCACCTTTACCTGCTGAGCAAGCTCACCAGTTCTCCTCAGCTTAAGAACTAAAAACTTAGGCAGTCTGAACTTCCCTCATGGCTGCCCTGTTATTAAGCCTAGTATGGATCCATAGATCACAGAGGAGTAACCCTGACCCTCTCTCTCACTGTGTATCTCTCCTGCTCCCTGGACCTGAGGAAGGACCAGAGCAAGATAAAGTAAACCTAAACTGGGGACATTTCCAGAGAAAAGAACCACTTTAGCACAGACTTCCATTTTCTGCTTTGGAGGAAGATGGACCTTTGCACCCTGGTCTTTTCTTTGTCTGGTCCCTTGGGAGAATAGTAAGTGCTGTAGGCAGAAGAGTGGCTGACTAAGATGGAGACCATAGTGAGGAGATACAGCCTAGCTCCACTTTTCCCTTTGCATATTTCTCAACAGCTGGGGTCCAGATGATGATGGGAAGACAGTGGATGGTCCTCACCAGCTTGGAAAGGTAACTGAGCTGCATGAAGACAGGAAACCTCAGGTGCCCCTCTTCATTCAGTCCTAGAAGAACCCGTAGTCAAACTCTCTTCCTAGTTCACTTGCAATGACTAGCCTACACCATTTAGCATAGCTGTGCCTTCCATCGCTGCTGCCTTCTTCAAGAAAGATTATGCACCTAGCTAGGGATGGGGCCTATATTGTTTTGAGAGAAGAATGGAACAACTCCCAGCTTCTTTCCCATGGATCTCATTCTGGGTTTCCATTCTTCATTCTGTTCTGCCATCTGATAAGCAGAAAATGTCTGTCAAACACTTTTAACTCTTAGCTCTCTCCTCATCTCATGTCTGTGTCTAAATGTCTTTTATCCTGTGCTCAGTGCCTTTTCCATGTTTTTCCTTTTCTTTCTAGAAGTGGGAGGAAAGGGTGACTGGTTCAGTAGGTGCAGGTCTTTCTGTGAGCGCCTTGACTAATACCCTGACATTTTGTTCTTCAGGCTGCCTTGCAACATGGAGTGATGGCTGGTCGCCAGGGCTTTGGGAGTATCTTTGTGGTCGCCAGTGGTAATGGGGGCCAGCACAATGATAATTGCAACTATGATGGCTATGCCAACTCCATCTACACTGTCACCATAGGTAGTGGCCTGGAGACTGTGGGGACGGGAACAAAGGGTCTATCACTGTGTATATCTAAATATGTGACCTTGAACATCCTTTGAGGGACAGACAGAACTAGCCCTGCTATTGAATGCCCTCAGGACTAATCTGGAGCATGTTTAACCATTCCTCAAAAGTCGCCATCACTATCACCATCGTGATAAGTTTGGTCTCCACTGTGGCGTCTCTTTCTATGGCCACTTGCCTCCTGCTTGAAACCTCCTCTTGTTTCCCTTTAGCCTAAATTAAGTGCCCTTGCACTGTACTCCCCCCAATAATAGAATTTGTCATTCCATCTTTATTATTTACTTACCCAACTTCTTACTTAATTGTAGATTCCTTGATATCAGCATAGTAGTAAATCCCTAGAACCTCATCCCTCTCTTCTACCGCATACTGCCTCCTCACTCCTTCTAGGAGGAGGCCTTTTCCATATGGCGTTAATGCTTAATGTGTGTGAACTCACTGTAGGTCTTAGTAAATCTTGAAAACAGTAAGTGGCTAAGTGCTTAGGTGGAAGGCCCTTGGTTTTGCATGAAGCCTAATAAAGAGTAAGAATTCCCTCTGATGTTTGAGGCTGCCTGCCCAAATGCAGATGAGGGTTATAAGCCTTCTGAGATGGCTCACCTCATTCTTTAAAATCAGGACAGTCCTATCTCCCCATGATGAAGGCAACTCTGGTATCAGGTACCATAATAGGACATGCTCCTTACCTGGGCCTCTTCTCTCTCTTTTGTGCCAGGTGCTGTGGATGAGGAGGGACACATGCCTTTTTATGCAGAGGAATGTGCCTCCATGCTGGCAGTCACATTCAGTGGCGGGGACAAGATGCTCCGGAGCATTGTGAGTGCCTCTTGGGCCCTTCGTGTCTCAGCCCTATCCCGCAAGGCTTCTTAGGCATCCACAGGGTATCTCCCATTGCCGTTTTCCCCTATTTTTCCTTCCTTCCTTCCTTCCTTCCTTCCTTCCTTCCTTCCTTCCTTTTTTGACTTATTTGTTATGTGTATGAGTGCTATGCTTGCATGTGTGTAAGTGCGCCTATGCTGTGCAGTGCCCTCAGAGGGCAGCTTCCTTCCTTCCTTCCTTCCTTCCGTCCATCCTTCGTCAAGGTCACTACTCTAGCCCATGCTAGCTTAGAACTCCATACTATATTATCCAGGTTGATCTTGAATTTACAGCAGTCCTCCTGCCTCAGCCTTCCAAGGGTTAGAATTTTAGGTGTGAGCTACCATACTTGGCAGGGTATTTCTCCACCCCCACCCCAACCCCATTCATCAGGATTTTGTGTAACCTAACCTTGAATTCACTATGTAGCTGAGAATGACCTTGAATTTCTGATCTTCCTGCCTCTACCTCCTAACTGCTGGATTATAGGTATCTTTACCACTGTACCTAGCTCAGCTAGGTACCTCTCTTCATACTTTCTCTGCCCTGGTTGTCAGGCTCCTTTGCCTTTGCATACCAGTATCTCGTAAGGCATGCCACTTGTATGAGAAGCTCAGAGGACTCTGAATAAATCTGCTTTAATGGTTTTGATCTTAAACTTTGTCACTTGGGACAAATGTGTATACTGATATAAAAACAATTGCTGTGCAGATTAGATGGCTTCCTTGAACTGTCTCTCAGTGGTAGAATTTGGACTTTTACTGCTTTCTATGAGCTAAGACCATCATTGCATTGCTGTTCGGTCCTTTTCTAAATACTGACTCTGTCATGTTCATCCTCAGAGGTAAAGGTAGTGGTTGTCCCTGGGATAGGCAGGAAAGGAAGTCTGAACTGGCTTGTGTAGCCTTACCCTGTTCTTCTCTAGAGTTCTGATTGGAGCCAAAGCCTGAGAATACAGCAGGGAAGTTGAGCTTCTGGAGCCCACAGAATCCTTGAAGGACTCAGGGACCTTTGCTGGCCTGGGCTCCAGCCTCTAGACCACAGTCCTAGAACACTCTATTTGTCCTTATTGCCACTAACATTGTTAGGTAGGAATAGAAGGCTCCAGACCAGAGCTGGGCAGGAGCCAGCCGCTGTCAAATTTTGCTAGTGACCAGTTGGGAGGTTGCTGGGTCCACTGGAAATTAAACTGCTTTGTCTTCCTGCAGGGTCAAGTCATTTTTCAGAATGAAAATTTTGTTATGCCAATAAATGAGTTCTGGTCAACACAATGTTCCATGGCTCTGTGCCAGCTGACCCCCACCCCAGGGCGTCAGAGAAGAGAGAAGGGAGCAGACTAAAGTGAAAAGTGAGAGGCTTTACAGGCAGCCTGAGGTCCTACCAGTGGATTAGGAGGAAGAACAGGAACTTGTTCTGCTCTTTACCCCCTAGCAGAGCTCTAGGAATCCCACTTCCCCCCCCCCCATTCCACCCCTGCAGGTACCTAAGAAGGCTTCATAGCATAATCTTGACTGTTGTTCTGTAGAGGCTAGCTTTGCTCCTCCCAATTCAGCTCAACTTCTCACCCCACCTTCCATCTGAACTCTAATCTATCCAGAAATGAAAAATGAGTTTATTCAGCCAAGTTCCCATCTTTGGAATGTTCTTGCCTTGGCAACCTCCTGTTGGTTTTTATCCAGTGACCAGGCAGCTTTGTGAAACTATGTTTCTAAGGGTAGGGGCTAGGGACATAGGCTTCCCACTATCTGGCTGACTGCCTGTGGAGCTTCCCTGGGCTCTCCTAGTTCTGTGCGAGGCTCTTGCCATCATGGGCAAGTTCACGGATTTCACAGCTGCATGCTAGACTATCACTGTGAGGCTGTTTCCTTAACAGGAAAAAAATCAATCTGCTCCTTGGCATCAACCAGGCTTCCTCTCTAGTTGAGTCTACAACTTGGAGAGTGTTTTTCCCTTCCCTTCTGGGAGTGCACAGTGTCTGGGTAAAAAATGACATCTCTTGGCAGCTGCTAGGATAGCTGGGAGGGGAGGCTTGGAGTACAATGGAGAAAGGCAGCTCTTGGCAGAAGTTGGCATCCTGGTATCTGACCCAGAAGAGAAGCTTGAAAGAAAAGAGTTCTGTAGTCTGCACTCGTGTCTGAGTTCTACATGAGGGAACAGGTTTAGCAGGGAATCCACAGCTAAGCCCTTTAAGGCCTATGTGTTGGTGGGTCAAGAAAAGAACTCAATGCCAAAACACTGTCTTTCCCTGAATTTCACTTCCTGCCTGAGAACCATGAGTAGGAGAGGGGCTCACAGAAAACCAACTATGACACCAGGAAGCAGGAAGGCAGACTGTCCTATGGATGGCCACTTGGTAGGCAGGCTGTGTAGCCTGTGGGACAAGACTGCAACAGTCTTCTTCTGGAGAATATGCTCCTAGGTTGGCACCAGTGCTGCCTCAGTCCCTGTCACTGAACTGCCAACTAAGATTTTCTTTCCTTGACTAGTGCCGTCACTATTGTCCCAGCTCCAGCTGGAGCCCAGTAGCAGCCCTGGCCACTTCCTCTGTCTGGCTGGGTTGTGGAAGGATGGGTAGAAAATTTGGGAATGGAAGCAAAAAAAAAATTAGAGGATCAAGAATCAGGAAATGTACCCATCTCCTTTCCCCACAACCATGCCACCAAAGCCATTCATATATAATACAGAGATCCCAAAGGAGGCTGAAGGATTAAGGGTTTTCTTTGTCCCTCTGTGCATAAGAAAAGTTACAGCCTTGAAGAAAGGAGGGCCACTTGAGAGACTTGTTCCTTTCTTCCAGTCACTCACTCCTCTTTCTGCTTTCCAGGTGACCACTGATTGGGACCTTCAGAAGGGCACTGGCTGCACTGAGGGCCACACAGGGACCTCAGCTGCAGCTCCTCTGGCAGCTGGCATGATAGCCCTCATGCTGCAAGTACGGCCCTGCCTCACATGGCGGGATGTCCAGCACATCATTGTCTTCACAGCCACCCAGGTGAGAACTGAGAATTGCCCAGCTGGCCTACTTCAGGGTTGGACTATCAGGAGACTTCAGACCAAAATGTCCCAAAGGTCGGGTACCTTGCACACTTCAAGAGTAGCTAGGGCTGGAGAGATGGCTCGGCAGTTAAGAGCACTGACTACTCTTACAGAGGACCTGGATTTGATTCCCAGTACCCATATGGTGGCTAACAACCATCCATAACTCCAGTTCTAGGGGATCTGACACCCTTTTCTGACCTCCACAGGCATTACGTGACATAGGTGCACTCACATACATGAGGCAATACACTCATACAGATAAAATAAAAATAAAAAGAGGACTAACTATTTCAGAGAACTTGGATTTGATTCCCAGCATCCACCTCATGGCTAACAACCCTTCGTAACTCCAGTTCCAGGGGATCCAACACCCTCTTCTGACCTCCGTGGGCACTGCATGACATGAGTTCATTTACATGCATGCAGACAATGTACTCATACACATAAAATAAAAATAACAAGAGTGGCATGTATGAAGTGTGAGGACCCCATCAAGACCACGGAGCTGAACTCACCCTTCTGTTCGTGCCATTTTGCCTGCTAAGGAAAGCTCTAGGAAGGTACTCTCACTCAGAAGCTGGTCCTTCTGCTCCCCTCTCAGAAAGTTAGCCATTTAGGTGGTGACATCATGGGGCTTTGACCTTTTGTACCAGCTTTCCTAAGGGAATCCATTCCTAGTGGCCTCTGGGAGAGCCTGGACTGGATCAACTGGCAGACAAGCAGGGAGTTGAGAGTCAGCTAATGCTAGAGATTCACATGGGCTTCTGTCCTTTCAGTATGAGGACCGCCATGCAGACTGGCTTACCAACGAGGCCGGTTTCAGCCACAGCCACCAGCATGGTTTTGGCCTGCTCAATGCTTGGAGACTCGTCAATGCAGCCAAGGTGAACAGGTGTTGACCTACGGGGTACCCAGCATGGAGGGACCAAGGGAGACCACCCAGTACCTAAACATTGCCTGGCATATTATAGGCACTGAATGTCCATCTCATTGACTTCACCACTTTTGCCCTCATCCTAGGTGATAGCCATCTTAGCTATGAAAATCTCTCAGTACCATAACTGAGGATCCAAAACTATTAGTAGAGAGTAAAGGGAACTTGAGTGTAGCCTGGAGCTCTCAGGGGCTCTGGTTCTCACCTTCCAACCTAGACATGACCATTTCCTCTGATAACTTGGTGCCCTCAGGAGTACCTGGGGTGCTAGAAGGAGCCTCAAGTCAAAGAGGGTGATGACAGGAAAAATAGAGAACCAGACTTAAAGATGTTACTGATACTGATGAGAGATTGCTTGTGTTTGTGAGAATGAGATCTTGATCAACTTTGCTCGTTAATGCCTACCCCCCCCACACCCCTTTCCTTGAACAGATCTGGACATCTGTCCCTTACTTAGCCTCCTACATTAGCCCCATGCTGAAAGAGAATAAAGCAGTTCCTCGGTCCCCCCACTCGCTGGAGGTGCTATGGAATGGTAAGCATTGGCATAAGGGGTTAATCTTAGGTCTGAGGCCTGAGGCGGGTGACTGGGAAGCTAAGCTCATCCTCCCTGCCCAGTTCTCCCCCTTTCTTCAGGAGCTGAGCTCCAGCCAAACCTGTCGAGTTTTCTTTTGACCATTTTAGGACATGTTGCTGCTTCTGAGTTGGCTGGCCCCTTAGCTGCTTAACAAGACCTTTCTCCTGAGCTCCTAATAGTGAAAAGGAGCTGTGAGCAATGGGCTAGGAAGGCTGTGGGTGGAGTGGGAGTGAGGCTTAGGGAGCCTCGGCAGGAGTTGAAAGAAGTTCCTTTAACTTCCATGTTAAAATCTTGCCAGATAGACCTATCCAGTCCAGTGGCCTCTGCATGAAGGAAAGAAATGCATGACTTTGGTTCTCAGGCTTATCTCAGAGGAAGCCAGATGCCATCTCTTACGGGCAGGACAAAGGCATAAGCCATCCCCTGGGCTAGAGTTGTCTGCCATCCTCTGCCCCCACCTCCAGAGCGCCCCACTGTGAGGTCCATGTGAAGGAGTGTTAGGCATCTTCCGAGTCATGAATGTAGTTGTATGTTAAACACAGAGGTGGAAACCCTCCCAAGAGAAATAGAAGCTGAATCCACGTGCTTTGTTTTACAGCCCTCTGCACTGTTTTTGTTTTGGTGCTGGCAATGGAACCCAGTGTCTCACACATGCTAATAAGCATATGCTTTAACACTGAACTGTATACCCCAGCCCCTCTATATGCACATTTCCCAGTTATCCCTACCCTTAGCTCCATGGAACAAATTTTTTCCCCTTGAAGAGTTTTGATGAAGTTATTTGCTCCTTTTCCTTGTCTCCCTTGAAAGTTCTCAGACCAAAGGATTGGCACCTAAGAGGATTGACGAAAGGAGGGACCTTGGGTAGGCAGATAGGGCAGCCTCCCTCTGTGGGAGCTTCACTGAGAAAAATTGAATGTCTTTCTCCTAAGCATGCCCAAATCTTGCTAGTTTCCCTACATATGGAAGGAAACCTAGGGCCTGGTCAACACATTTTTCTGTAAAAGGAGAGGGGTCTTATGAAGGGCATGCCCAGGAATGTGCTTCCTAGAAGCCCCTTGCCTTCATGTGCTGTCTTGGGGATTGTGGGTCTTTTAACCTTTACCCTGTCCAGAGCTGTTTCCTGTCACTTCTGTCAAATGAGTTAGTGGACTTAAAGGATCAGAGACTGCCCCAGGTTTGTCATCCTCAGCTTCCTACCAACCAGGGGATGTTGCCCCAGAAAGTGTGACAACTTCCCTATGTATTGGGTAACTGGTATTTGTCACTAGGAAGCATAGAAGGGATGGGTGTCCTGAGAGGAGGGAAATGGGAGTTAGGGAGGTGAAGAGGTCAGGATGCAGAAGAAAAATGGAAAGATCCAGGAGTTTGGCTACTACTGGAGTCTTTCACCCAGGCTGACAAGCAGGCCTGATGCCCATTTCAGAGACTAGGGAAAGAAACTTCTTGCCATGACTACATTCAACCCTCAGCAGACAGAACAGAACAGAAGGTATGAGCCTGAAGGCTGATTTGGCTGGCAGTCAAAGGAGTGAAGTTCACATGGTACAGAACTGAGCCCTTAGCCCTGGACAATCTAGACACCTCATCCCTACAATTCCATATGGTCCAGACATCTCATCTACAGCCCCAGAAGGTCTAGACATCTCATCCCCAATAGCCCAGATACCTTATCCCTTTTAGCCAAGCTATAGTCTACTAGCAGGATCTTTAAAAGAAGGGGTGGGGAATACTGCAGGAGAACCTGAACATCCTACCTGTAGTAGAAGAGGTAAAGTAGGGGCTCAGAGCAGTATTAGCCCACAGGACTTTAAGTCATAATGGGAATGCTCCAGAACTGTGCCATGAGTTGGTCAAACACTCATTGTGGCTAGTGCGACCAAGGAACTGAACTTTAATTGCATGTAGTTATAATTAAAGCAGCTTTAAGGGTCTAATTCTATCATATTGAGCAGTGCAGTTCAAGAACAAAACAGGCTATGCCCACTAACAAAGAGGAAACGGGATCACACCGGATTCGAAAACACTGCTGAGAGTGGGCGGAGAGGGGGGTTTGGTGGTGAGTTTCTTCTCCACAAGAGAATCTACGTATTAGAAAATTCCAGAACACCCACTTGCACCTGTCCTTTGTCCTCATATGTAGTCTGAGTGTACCATGAATTCTAAGTTCTGTGCTCCACCCTTCCCATCCTCCCTTTCTTAGTCACCCTCTCTACTGTTTGTTCCTCCTGTCTTGTAGTTAAGTCCCTGCCTCCCTTCATAACTCACAGTGCCCTTCTTGCTCTCATTTTCACTTTCTCTGGTACTAGTGGTCAAACCCAGGGCCTTGTTCATGCTAGGCAAGGACTCTCCCACTGAGCTACATTCCCAGTATACTATACTCACAGTGCCCTTTTCTAGTCCCATCCAGGGGCAGGTTTGAAGTCTGTCCTTCTGAACCTTCTTGTTGCTCTGACCCTAGAAATAGGTTAGTACCTGTCTTCCTCTGCTGCCTGTGACCTCTGTGCTCCATTGCCCTCTTTTGGCATCCCTGCCCAAAGTTCCCATTTCCTTTATCTCTTCACAGCTCCAGAGCCGTGTCTTCTGCGATGTATTCCATGACTTTGTGTCTCCCTCCTCTATATCTTTCCTCAGCGTTACTGTATTTGTGACCAACTCCCTTCTTTCTACATTTAACTTGTGCATTTAAATCTCTTAGTCTGATCCCTCGTTGAATAAATAAGGATAGAGACTGTTATGGCTCCCACTAGATTTGGGGCAAACAGGGCTTGGTATCTTCTGGATAGAGCATTAAAGATTTTTTAAAAAGGGGGCTGGAGCTGGGCATAGTGGCACACGCCTTTTATCCCAGCACTTGGGAGGCAGAGGCAGGTAGATCTTTGTGAGTTCGAGGCCAGCCTAGTCTACATAGTGAGTTCCAGGACAGCTGGGGCTACAAGGAGACCCTGTCTCAAAAAGACCAAAGAAAGGGGGGAGCAGGGGGCTGGAGAAATGGTTCAGTGGTTAAGAGCACTGGCTGCTCTTGCAGAGGACCTGGGTTTGATTCCCAGCACCCACATAGCGGCTGACAACTGTCAGTAACTCCAGTTCCAGGAGATCCAACACCTTTTTCTGACATGTGAGGGCATTGCATGACACAGGTGTAATTACATTCAGGCAGTACACTCATATACATAAAATAAGAATAATGAGGTACAAGCAGGAGAATCACTCTTAAATTCAAGGCCAGCCTCATCTCAGTAGTGAGTTCTAGATCAGCCAAGGCTACATAGTGAGATCCAGTCTTAAGATTTTTATGTATTAAATTTATCATGTTCCACTTTTTATTTTTTTTTAATTCTATGAACTTATAGCTTATATTTTAACATCTATCAATGAAGCTTTAAAGTATAAACCGTGTATCATTTTTCCTGTATTTTCCAAAGATGTGAGAAACTCTATGCCATGACTAAACACTCGTATGTTGTATCACTATTATCTTTACTTTTGCAGAGATCCACCCCCTCAAATATTTTACATAGCATAATTAGAAAGACTTGAGTGGAGGGGATTATAATGGGATATTAAATATCAAAGTCATTTTCAAGGTCTTCCTCTCCAAAATGGGTCCATTCTTTATCTCATTCCATGTATTTTCTGCACTCAATTTCCTCCACTTTGTTTCTTCAGCACATTTGTTCCCTGTGCTCATTTGGGAGTTTCTAAAATTTCAGGTAGTTACTTCACGTTCTAATAGTGCTTCTCTGTGAACTGGGTTGATAAATCTTCTTAAGTTGGATATCTGGGCACTTTTCTGATGTATTTACACACCAAGCAGTTGTATCCTCCATCAGTGACAGGAAAAGTCCATGGTATTAGAGACCGGGTTGTATTATAGGGTAGTTAATGCAAAATTGGCAACGAGAACAATGTTATACTTAACACCTGATTCCATCAGCTAAATTCAACGATCCTTATCTGATAATCTAACAAATGTCATTTATCAAATCCAAAATTGAATTCTTAGGGCATTTGTAGTTCAGTGGTTAAGTGTGTGCTGCGTATGGGAAAGGCTCTAGATTCATTCTCAAGCATCATATAAAACTAAATGAATCCTTAATTCCAACTACTAATCCTTTCTTCCACTTTGAATGGAATTAAAGCCATTTATTTATGCCACGAAATAAATCATTTGGAATCATTAAAAAAAATAAGAATAATGAATAAAATTTAAAAAAAAATATTCCTTTAAAAAGTTTGACAGTAGGGGCTGGAGAGATGGTTAAAAGCATTAGCTGCTCTTGCAGAGGACATGGGTTCAATTCCCTGCACCCACATGGTAGCTAACAACTGTCAGTAACTCCATTTCCAGGGGATCTGATGCATATTGGAAGAAAAGGCACTTTAGGTAGAAATTTCTTATTGCAGTCTAACTTCCTAATCCCCAATTGAGTCTTCTACTTTGTTAGTTCTTTTTCCAACTTTCTTTTTTGTTTGTTTGTTTTGTTTTTTGTTTTTTGTCTTTTTGAGACAGGGTCTTCTTGTAGCCCTAGCTATCCTGGAGCTCACTATGTAGACTAGGCTGGCCTCAAACTCACAAAGATCTCCCTGCCTCTGCCTCCCAAGTGCTGGGATTAAAGGCATGTGCCACCATGCCCAGCCATTTTTTTTTGTTGTTGTTTTTTTTTAAAAAAAAAACAAGGTCTCCCTGTAGCCCCAGCTAGCCTGGAACTCGCTATGTAGAGCAGGCTAGCCTTAATCTTACAGAGATCCATCTTGCTTCCTCCTCCCTAGTGCTGGGATCAAAGGGGTATACCACCACACTGGCTTTTTCCAGCTTTTTTTTTTTTTTTTTTTTTTTTGGTCTTTTTGAGACAGGGTCTCCCTGTAGCCCTAGCTGTCCTGGAACTCACTATGTAGACTAGGCCGGCCTTGAACTCACAGGGATCCATCTGCCTCTGCCTCCCGAGTACTAGGATTAAAGGCGTGTGCCACCACGCCCAGCTGTCCAGCCTATTATTTTGAAGTAATTGTAGATTTAGAGTTGCAAAGTAATGAATAAGGAAATCTCATGCACCCCTTTCCCAGTGTTATTATGTAATGATAATATAGTATTAAAACCAAGAAATTGATGTTGCAACAATTCATAGAGCATGCTCAGCTTTTACCAGTTTTGCATGCATTTAGTATTTTTGTGTATGTGTATGTAGTTGTAGATGATTGTGTGTTCTAGTTTGTTTCTCCATTTCTGTGACAAAATACTGTGACCAATACCAACTTGGGGAGGGAGGAAGGCATTTATTTGGCTTACATCTCCCAGGTAACATCAGGGAGCATAAGGACTCAGTTCAGGAACCTGGAGGTAAGAGCTGGAGCATAGGCTATGGACAAACGCTGCTTACTAGCTTGCTCCTCTGGTCCATGCTCAGCCTGCTTTCTTATACAATACAGAACAACCTGCACAGGGGTGGCACTGCCCACAGTGGGCTGGGCCCTCCCATATCACTCAAAAATCAAGAAAATACCCCAAAGACATGGCCACAGGCCAGTTCAATGGAGACAGTTCCCCAGTTGAGGTTCCCTCTACCCAGGTGTGTCAAGTGTCAAGTTGACAGTGAAAGCTATCCAGCATATTGTATGTGACCAAGATCCCATCTGTGCCATAGACTCCTTTATGTCACCTTTTTTTTTTTTTGGTAATGGGGGGGTTGTTTGGTTTGGGGGGTGGGGAGGTTAAGACAGGGTCTCGCTATGTAGCCCTGGCTGACCTAGTACTCACTTTGTAGACCATGCTGGCCTCTGCTCCCAGAGTGCTGAGATTAAAGACATTGAGCCACCACATCAGGCTGTGTTACCTCTTTATGGCTATACCTACCCCTTTCTGATCGCTAACCCCCTGGTAACCACACTTGTTCTCTGTCTCTACAGGTCTGTTTGGGAAATGTCATATAAGTGGAATTGTGTGGCATAGATACTTTTGAAATTAGCTGTTTTCATTCCACATAACTTCTTTGAAGTGTATCCACTTTAGTTTTTGTAAATTGATTCTGTGTTGTCCCTCATATATTGGACTTAATTCACCTCTCTTTTTATATGCCATTTCACCCTTCTAGAATGCCTCTACCAGTCTGAATTTCTTTCTTTCTTCAGCACATCTCACTGCTGTGTGCCTCAACTCACCTGATATGTCTTTTCCCTTATCAATTATGTATATCATATATCATTTTCTATTTGCAGGTACAGGCAGAGACCATGCCCAGTTTATCTTTATATTCCCCACATCTAGTACAGTGCCTGAAATCATAGGAAGTATTCAGTAGATGACTTTTGGATGGATGGCTGATTGAGTTCTTACATTGTCTTGGCCACACATTGTCTTCCAGGCTAGACTCTAAGCTAGGTGGGAGCTTGACTGCATCACTGCATTCCACTGCTAGTGTACACAGTCCTGGCACAGGTTGACATAGATGTTTGTATGTGGCTTCAGTGCACATGTACCTTTATATGTTGGGATGAAATGAGGGGGTAAGTGTTTATGGGCTGGTTTCCCAGCTGCCCAGCCTGACTTCCCACAGTCAGCAGGATGGACCTGGAGATGTCGGGACTGAAGACTCTGGAGCACGTGTCAGTGACAGTCTCCATCACTCACCCACGACGCGGCAGCTTAGAAGTGAAACTCTTTTGTCCCAGTGGCATGATGTCTCTGATCGGTGCCCCCCGCAGCATGGACTCGTACGTACACTACACCTGCCCATGGCCTCCTGACCTTTCTTTACAAGAGTTATCTTAAGCAGATACTAGCACTGCCCTAAGCTGCCACACCACTGGCTGTCCTTGGCAGCTGGAAACACTGGCCATGCTTTATTCATATGTACATTTTCCCTTATCTTGTTAAGAATCCTGTGGAAAGCTGATTTTAATGGTGAATACCTATAATCCCATTATTAGGGAGGCTGATAGGCAGGAAGACCATGAGTTTGAGGCTAGCATGGCCTATACAGCAAGACCTTGTCTTAAAAGCCAAGGCTGAGACATAGTTTGGTGAGAGAGTACTTGTCTATCATGCTGGGTTCAGTCCCCAGCAAAGCAAAAAAGAAATAAAAAATGAAGTAGCACATGCCTGTAATCCCAGCACTCAGGAGGCAAAGGTGGAAGGGTCAAAAGTTTAAAGCTAGTGAATTCTAGGCCAGCCTGAGCTGTAAAATAAAACCTTGTCTCAAAAACAAAAGGCAGGTGTTGGGAGGGACCTAGCTCTGTGGGATTCCCAAGATGCTGTTCTGTCCTTGTTGGCTTTACTACACCACAAGAATACAAGGCCCTCATTCCCTGAGATCCCAGGAAAGGGGTAACACTTGAGGACTCCTCATGGTACCCTTCCAAATGGCTATAGCTCCTTTCATGTTTCTGGGCTACAGCTCAGCCACCTGTGTCAGGCTGTCCATATTTTCTGCCTTGTTTGTTCCCAGGGATCCCAATGGCTTTAATGACTGGACCTTTTCCACTGTGCGGTGCTGGGGAGAAAGAGCAAGAGGCACCTACAGATTGGTTATCAGGGATGTAGGTGAGCCTCCCTGCCTTCTACCACTTGGTCCCTCTGAGTCTTAGACTCCCCACAGGAAGCACCCCCATGTGGACACATAGGGTTGCCATTGATAAAGAAGGTAGATGTCAAGTATGCCCCAACCAAAAAGTAGGCATTGGTCCCTAAAATAACTCATTTGTACTGCCTCTATATGCCTTGGAGAAGTGACTGATCCATTTTTCCTCAGGATAGCAACAAAAATTCCTTGTTGAAACCACATTTCAAGTCCTTTCATATATAACCATCCTTCGGCCAGCCCTGATAGGCAGGTAAGGGCAGGACATATTTTCACCATTTTGTATTTTGGAAAAACTGAGATCCAAAGTTGGAAGTGTATAAGAATCATAGTAACAGTGAAGGTCACAATTGCAATGATATGAGTATGCAATACCAGCAGAGAGACAGGAAACTAAACCCAGCCCTCCCAGCATCCAGTCAGCTTAGGTATTCATTTGACTGGCAGCTTTTGAACCTCTAATTTGATAGATAGTTTTTCTTTGAAGGAAAATCTCAGACAAAACCCCAAAGCATGGGAGATAAAGGCAAAACACTTCTTCCTACTAGTAAGACCTTTCAACCTTGCTGTTCTGTCCATAGGGTACCTAAGGAGGCACTTCTGCAGAACACTGGGGTCTATGGGACACAAACTGATAGACTATGTGGTCTGAGTTCCTTGGGTGGCAGGGTGGGCCAGGCTCTGCTGTTTTGCATGGCTCACAGAAGGGCACAGCTCATGGCTACCCACTTGCTGCCCTAGGAGATGAGTCGCTCCCGGTGGGCATCCTCCGGCAGTGGCAGCTGACCCTGTATGGCTCTGTGTGGAGTCCAGTAGACATCAAGGACAGACAAAGGTAGGTGTGTCCATGTATGTCAGAGGAGAGAGCCTCCTGAGGGGTAGGGGAAGAGGTGTCAACTAGAGAACCCAACTTTGTTCTGAACTCTAGCCATGTTTCCCAGCTCTAGGCTCAAGACAGTGGACAGAGCCATAGACTTGGAACCGATAGTGCTCCTGACCTCTGCTGTGTGGCTTCTTTCACCCTCTTCATCTGTGAGGTGGAAGGCAGATGGTACAGAGACCATGTTTAGTAGCTTACCCTTGTCGATTTTCTTTTCTGCAGTTTGTTAGAAAGTGCTATGAGTGGAAAATACCTGCATGATGGCTTCACTCTTCCCTGTCCACCTGGGCTGAAAATTCCTGAGGAGGATGGATACACCATTACCCCTAACACCCTCAAGGTACTGAGACCAAAACTCTACCTATAGACAGGACTGTCCTGGGGGATTTGGTCCATGGTGCTACTCCAAGTGAACCAGGGGATAAGGGATTGGGAAGACCCAGGTCCCTAACATCACTTCTGTCCTGTCAGCTTGTTCCTTAAGAGTAGTCCCTGTGTGTGAAGAGGGTAGAGCGGTGGTTGTGATGGGAAAGGTGGTCCCTAGAAGGGAGACTCTGAGTGAGCTCTTGCTTCTGAGCTAACACCTATCTCTAACATCAGTGCTTGGCTTTTTCCCAGACCCTGGTGCTAGTGGGCTGCTTCACTGTCTTCTGGACCATTTACTACATGCTGGAAGTATACCTAAGCCAGAGGAACGTGGCCGCCACCCCAGGTTGCAGGAGTGGACCCTGCCCCTGGCCCCAGCGGAACCAAAAATCCAGAGATGAGGGGACGGAGCTAGAATCAATGCCACTATGCAACAGCAAGGACCTGGATGGAGTGGATTCAGAGAGTGGAGTCCTTAGCACCACCTCTGGCCTCCTAGCCCCAGATTTGCTCAGTGAAGGGGACTGGAGCTTATCCCAGAGCAGTAAGAGTGCCCTGGACTGCCCTCATCAACACCAACCTCCAGACCTGGTACAGGGAAAGGAAGAACAGATCTGCTGAGTCTAGGGCCTGACAGCCTCCATGTAGGGCAGGCTCTTCCCAAAACTGAGGATGCTGCTTCCAACCATGGGATGTTGAGGAGAGAAACTGGTCCCAATGGTGACTTCTGGAACCCAAGGCCTTGGAAGTATTCTTGGTACCCTCAAGAGAGTGAAGGCTATCTTAAGTACAGTGTAGAGCACTGGTGAGCACAGGCTCCTCCAGCTGAGCTTTGATGAGAGGCCTTGGATAGGGATTGGCACTCAGGCCAGCAATCCTTTGTCCCATCTCTCTGAGGCAAGTCAGTGACCTAGGCCATTAGGACCTCTACTCATTGTGGGTTATGCAGGTTCCCGCATGATCAGGGAGAACTCTTGACAGAAGTATTGCTTGGGTCACTGGGCAGGGGCCCAGAGGAGAGGCTGGCAAGAGCCTAAACATGCCTTCCCTAAAAGCAACTGCCTTTGTCATTCTTCACTGTGCTTCTGGTCTGAAGCCAATCTTGAACCTGCCCCTGACTCTACCACCACTACCCCTTCCTGCTGAAGGAATGGTACAGTGCTCCTAAGAGAGCTGGAGCTGGGAGGTGCATGGTGCCCAGGGCCCCGCTGCTTCATAGGGAAGTCTGGCGGGACTGCAGAGCACTGAGACAAGTTTGAAGACAGCTTGGGAGACACTGCTGTTCAGCCTGTGACCACCTTGTGTTCCTCTGCAAAGTGCTCAGGGAAATGGCCTTCACTCAAGGCCAGGTGTCTGCCTAATAGGCTCTCACATGTCGTCCATTCTTGGCCTTCTCCCCTCCCCATCTTCTGAGCTAATTGATAATCTGAATTTTTTAATACTAAAGATTTGATTTTCTTTTTTTCACAGCAACATTTTGTTGAATTTTTTTCTGCACAGCTTTTCCAAAATAAAAATCTTCCAACTAATTCTGCTAGTTCCCACCTCAGCTCTTTTCTGCCTACCCACAGCTCCTTCCTCTGATCCCTGGGTCCATGGGGTCTGAAGGGTCCTGCAGAAGACAGTGGTCAGGAACACACATGCCACCTGTCCCTGGCTCAGGTTTCCTGGAACTGTAGCTGGAGTGAGGTTAAATCAAACTGCCAACCAAGCCTGAGGAAAGATGGATGTATATATTTTTCTCTTTTTTGAATTTCAACCAAAAAAAATATTCCAGGAAAAGATGGAGAGATTGGGCTGGGTCTCCTTCAAAGGGCATTTGCTACCAAGGACATTGGGCTGGCTGCACACCCAGGCTACCCAGCCCACTTCCCCCTGTTTAGCCCAGGATGGGAAGAGACAGGAGGTGGGAGTGCAGCTGAGAGCAGGGGCCAGGGCAGTGGTGGCTCCGGGGTAAGCTGGGCTAAGGCTAGGGGGAGGTGGGAGCTGCCCTTGTGCCGTCACCTTTGCCCAGTGACAGCCTCAAAGCTTGGCCGGGGCTAAGAACCTACATAGGTGTGGGTGAGGCAGGCTAAGCAGGACACTGCAGCCAGAGAGCTGGGAAAGGCAGGCTCAGGGCTGGTCGTCCCCTCTAACTGATGATCTGCCGAGGTCGTCCGTAGCCTGTCATGCCGGCCTGGGAGGCCCCTCTGTTACTGCCCATTTGAAGGCCAATGACATGCTTCCCCTCCTGCAGTTGGCTCTCTGTAAATTCCCTCTTATGCTCCTGGGCTTTCCTAGAAGAAGAAGAACCAGAATAAGACTTGCTAGAACTTGGTGTTGTCCACCAATGTTATGATCCCTCTGTTGATTCCTTGCAACAGGTCTCTATTCTCTAAGTTGGGCTGGCCCTAAGGAGGTGCACAGGAGGGTAGAAGGCAGGAGTCCAGAAATTTTCTCCAGTCTGAAGGACTCACTGGGGACTTTCCTGGCTCTGTTGCCCCTGATCATTTCTGTAGCTGATTGACCCAAGCTATCCCCACCCCACAAAGAGATCCAAGCTAGGATACAGGGATCCCCAGTAACCACATACTTCATAAACCAGTTGGGATCTCCACGGTAGTGCCCGTCATTCTTGGTCACGGCCAAGCTGCCCAAAGCCATCAGAGTCCTCTGCACTGCTGCCAGGTCTTTGCCTATGAGAAGGTAAGAGTGATCAGGAGATCAACTTAAGGTTATTTATTTTTATTTGAGATGTCTCCCTATAGCCCCCAGCTGGCCTGGACCATCTATGTAGACTAGGTTGGCCTTGAACTCACAGAGATCTGCCTGCCTCTGCCTCCCAAGTGCTGGGATTAAAGGTGTGCACCACCACAGCCAGCTTCAACTTCAGGTCTTAAAAAATGGTCAAACCAAGCCAGGTGTGGCGCGCGCCTGTAGTCCCAGCACTTGGGAGGCAGAGGCAAGTGGATCTCTGTTGAGTTCAAGGCCAGCCTGGTCTACATAGTGAGTTCCAGGACAGCTGGGGCCACAGGGAGACCCTGTCTCAAAAAGACCAAAAACAAAAAAACCAGTCGGGCATGGTGGCACACGTCTTTAATCCCAGCACTCAGGAGGCAGAGGCAGGCGGATCTCTGTATAGTGAGTTCCAGGACAGCTGGGGCTACAGGGAGACCCTGTCTCAGAAAGACCAAAAAAAAAAAAAAAAAAAAAGTCAAACCAGGGGCTGGAGAGATGGCTCAGTGGTTAAGAGTACTGACTGCTCTTGGCAAAGGACCTGAGTTCAATTCCCAGCACCCACATGGTGGCTAACAACCATCCGTAACTCCAGTTCTGGGAGAATCTGATGCCTTTTGACCTCTGTGGGCATTGCCTGACACAGGTGCACTTATACACATGCAGGCAATACACTCATACACATAAAATAAAAGTAATATATTTTTTTTAAATGGTCAAACCAGGGCTGGAGAGATGACTTAGCAGTTAAGAGCACTGGCTGCTCTTACAGAAGACTCCTAGCACCCACAAGTCAGCTAACAACTGTCTGTAACTCCAGTTCCAGGGGATCCAATACCCTCTTCTCACCTCCATAGGCATTGTACAACATGGGCCTCAGCCCCTGTGGTACAGTGTTCTCTTCCCATATCCCATTCCTCTTCACAGATCAGCAGACATCCTAGGTGTGGCATATTTTGATCATTCCCTCTCCCTCCCTCAAAATCTTGCTCTCTACTGACCCAGTGGCTCCAGCCCTTTCTCTCTATACCTTCAAAGAGATCAACAGTCTGGAACATGTCAGTCTTGGTGACTCCATAGTCCTCAGCTGCCTTCAGGAATTGGGCTACCTGCTCCATCTGCTTGAAGACCATAGAGGGTGGGTTCTCAGGCACCTTCACTGGCTTGGAGCCCTCAGGATACAGGCTGTTCACCAGCTTGCTCAGAATCTGCCAAGTATAGGACACAGATGGGAACTCAGCTCAGGGGGTCTGCCCCACAGCTTGAAGGATGGCACACACATCCCTAATCCCTTTTCCTGGGGTGCCACTCACCATGCCATTCTTCAGCCACACCTGGAAGCCCAGGCGCCCACGGTCTGGGCGCCCCACATCAGGGCCACACTGCATCACAATCCACTCCACTAGTCGCTCCTCTAACTCCTCATCATACTTCTTCTCAATTTTGGACTGCACTTCACGGCTCATGCCATAGGAAGGACCCTTGTTGGCCATGTTGAGGCAGAGCTAAAGCAGGGTAGAGAAGGGAAAAAGACAAAGACTAAGGGATAGCTTGGCTTTGCTTGTGCCATGCAGGCCTTCTTGCTCTGTGAGGGGTTTCCAGCTTCCTGGACACCCATCACACTACTACTCAATTAGGCCAGGTTCATCCCTTTGGTGCAGAGGCCCTTCTGAACTTGTATATCATGAAACAAGATATTAGGTATTTAGGGGTCTAGAGCAAGGGTCTGTCAGCTTTTTGTGTAAAAGACAAGAGAGTAAATATTTTAGGTTTCGTAGACCATATGGTTTCTACAGGTGTTGTGAAAAGAGTGTAGATGAAACATAAACAGTGTGTGCCAACAGAACTTTGTTTACAAAAACTGACAGCAGGCTGCACTTGGCCTGTGGACCATTTTGACAAGCCCTGGCCTAAAGCTAGTCTTTTCTCCCTCCCTTCTTCCCTTCTCCCCTTCCTTCTTCCTTCTTTCTTTTGTAGTGCTGGGGGTGGAACCTAGCTTCACCCATGAGAGGCAGCAAGTACTCTGCAACTAAGCTTTATCCTCAGCCTTTTTTTTTTTTTTTTTAAATAGCTAATGTTTCACTATGTTACACAGGCTGACCTTAAACTTGCTCTGTTCTGTGGTCCAGGCAGGCTTTGAACTTGCAGTCCTCTTACCTTACTTAGCCTTCTGAGCAGCTGGGATTATAGCCCTGCATCACCAGGCCTGGCTAGCACATTGTTTCTTTGCCAAGACCGGTCTAGAGAGGCCTTCCAGAAGCCAAATGATCTCCCCAAATTAAGAGAGCAGGTATCTTTATCCAGTAAGGTTTCTGCCAAGTCTCTATCTAACTCAGAAGCTGGAAGTGCAGAGCTTTAGCTCTTTGCCAGGTCTACTCATCCTCTGAATTACAGCTGAGAAAGCCACCTGGCAAAGTCACCAAAGCCCAAGAGTTCTCACAGAGCAGCCGAATTCTCTTGGGAATTGAAAGAAAGGATGTGCCCATCACTTTCTGTCATGCCCATGGGCTCTGGCTGCTACAGTAACTGGAGAATCATGTAATCAGAATCCTCCAGGGATATCCTGGGGCCAAGAATCTGCCAGGCAGAGCATGGGAATGCTGTCCTGCATGTCAGCTGCTGCCCCAAAGGCCTGGGTCTGGCTCTGTTCAGAGGCCCCAGATGTGAGAGGGAGGAAGGCTTTAGGGACAGAAGCAAGCAGGTCCCTGGGAAGACATGGTCATCACTAGTCAAGAGGAGCCTCTGGCCAACAGGGGTCATCCTGGGTGGGATGCTGTTTGCCCAGTTTGTCTGAAGAACTAAAACAAGGTCAAACTAAGCCCCAAGCCTCAGAGAGGTCATAGGTTGGGAGAACAGTGTAAGGATGGGGCAGTTGGCAGGCTCTCCTACTTCCCTCCTGTGAGAGGTGAGACACCCCACCCCCACCCCTACCCCCAGGAGAAGCAGAGACATCATCAGATGACTTCAGTGCCAGGCTCCCTACCCCTTGCTGACAATCTTTCTGAGCTCTACAAGCTCCCCAGCTGTGAAAAGGGGGTAATCAAGTCTACCTCAGAGGACTGTGCAAATGTCAGCATCTGTGAACTGCCTAACATGCTGCCCATCTCTTTGAGGTGACCCTGGAGAGAACCAGCTTTTAACCAGGGAGTTAAACACAGTTATCAGGTCTTTCCCTCTCTAGTCCCCTCTGCCTTTTTAAAAGCATCCCCTGGGCCCACAAACAAGTTTGAGAGAGAGAGAGAGAGAAAAAAAAAAAAGACCACCAGGAGACTTCATGTAAATGCAAGCCATAGGGGGGCCTCACTTCCCTAAGGTGAAGTGGGGCATGGACCCCCGACTGAGTACCCTCTCCCAGCCAACAATGCTGGGGGACTCAAAGGCCTCTCTCTGCTGGTCAGTTGTAAATGGTTGGTCATGTCCCTCCCTTCCACACCCCCATTTTGTGTCACCCCCAACTCCCAACAAGGACTCCTGGGTCAAAAGCCACAAGGTAAATGAAACCAGTGGCTACAATGCTCCTTCCTCCTGGCCTCCTCCCAGCCTGTCTCAGCCTTTGCTGCTCTCCAAGGACACATGTACCTGCTAGTTTCTATCTCCAACCCTGTTTATATCTTCACGCACTCCTACCAGAGGCTGGGCACAGGAAGAAAAGATGGAAGGAGAGTATCCCCCACCCACAGTTTTCAGTCTCCAGAAAGTTCTAAACAGATAGTTGTAAGTCACAGGGCTAAGGACAAGTCACAGTGACAAGTGCAGTGCTGCAGCCTTACATCTAGAGACAGTATTTGGGTTTGAGTCAAAGCATGCTCTGGCAATAAGAAGTATCCCACCCAGCACCATCCTTGTTCCCCATCTCCCTTCTGGTGGAGAGCCTGAAGTGAAAAGTCCCAACACATCCCTTTGAGGGAGGTGGGCAAGGTCAAGGACAGGAGGACAAAATATGTATGAAAATACCATAATGAGAACCAGGCGTGGTGGCGCATGCCTTTAATCCCAGCACTTGGGCGGCTGAGGCAGGTGGATCTCTATAAGTTCAAGGCCAGCCTGGTCTACATATTGAGTTCCAGGCCAGCTGGGGCTACAGGGAGACCCTGTCTCAAAAAGACCAAAACAACAAAACAAAACAAAACAAAACCCATAATGAAACCCACTACTTATATGCTAACTTTTAAAATTAAGAGGAAAAAGATCTCTGCAAATTCTCCTCTAGGAGGCTCTGGAGAGAGGAGCTCCCAGGATGGGAAGATGGTGGTTTGGCAGTCCACCCAGGGACATTTCTAGACAGAAGCGGCAGGATACCTACATGACGCTCAGCTTGTATGCCTGTTCCCATAGCTCCTGCCAGGCCTCCTTTCCCTTGGGCAGGCCAGTGGTGAGGGGGCAGGCCAGTGGTGAGGGCAGTAACTTCAAGCAGCCCAGAAGACCAGATTCAAGTGTCTCTAGGACTGCAGTGCCCCCGACTCTCATCCCCACAAAAAAATAGGTGAGCGCTTCTGCCTCCCAGAAAGGGTACACCTAAACTCCAGGGACCCACCTAACTGCCATCTTTCGAATGGCAGTACTTCTACCCACCACCCCTCTGCCTGCTGTTTTGATGACCTCCTACTCTCAGGCTGTGGACAGAGCTACCTGTGGAAAAGCAGATCCTGCCCCAGCCTGTCACCCTGGCCTGTTCTGAAATATTAAAATTCTGGGGGAGGGGGTTGTTGCCCAGTGGCAGAACACATGCCTATTACACATGCCCTGGTTTTGATCCTCAGCACTACAAACTAACTGTTCCCTGGTCCTCCACTCTGCCTCAGGGTCTATTCCTATGTTGCTCAAGCCCTGGGAACCAGCAGTGGGCCAGTGCTCTCTGGAAAAAGTGAACTCACAGTCCCTCACCTTCTTGCACATCCTCTGAGATGGAGACAGACAACAGACCCTCAGCCTACTCACCTCTTCGCACCCACCACACAGTTGTTTTCCCCATTGACTCTTTTGACAAACCAAGTCACCCTGGGCATTTAGTTAACAGTCATGCCTAGTCTGAGACAGATGCAGGACTCTGGGGACCCCATCCTACCCAGCAAGCTAGGAGCTGTTCCCTGGAGATTAAGGGAGCCCCAGCTGAGACCCCAGTCCAGGAGTGCAGGTCTTGGCTGATGACACACATACCCCTGCTGCTCCTGTCCCTGGCACTTACAGGGCTCCTCGCTGGCTGGCAGGCGGGCAGGAGAGGTTGTCGTCTGGGTTTGGGCAGATGGGCAAGGGCGCCGGCTGGGTGAGGGGTTTAAAGAGTGCAGCGGCGATGATGTCACCTCCCCCGTCAGCTCACCCCCGCCCCTGCCTGCCTGAGGAAGCCAGCTCAGCTCCCACCCCCAGCCGCCCCACTCACTCCGCACAGGCTCCATATTTGGGGAAAGACACCAAGTTGGAGCAGTCTGTTGGGGGCTGCCGGAGACATTCTCTGCGTGCTTTGGAGATGCAGCCTGGACAGGGCGGGGCGGCGGGAGCTGGCCGGGAAAAGCCTTTTATGGGCAGGACCCTGCAGGCTTCCCAGCCACCCAGATTTTGATCTGCTCTTCCCTGCTCCCTGTATGAAGGGCGGAGGCGCCCAAGAGTGTGGCCATACCTACAAACATCCTAGGGAGGGGAGGGATCCCCCAGACTGCAGGGGACTCACAAGCCACCCTCTATGGGGGCTTTTAAATCCAGTTGGAATGGAATGGAAACTAGTCTTTGGTGGAGACGAGCTTGGCTCAAGGCACTGTGCAAATGCCTTGCTTTCACACTCAGCCATGCAGTGAGGGTGGGGTTACTATCTGGTTTGACAGATGAGAAAACTGAGGTTCAGTGTGCTCTTCCCAAGGCCACTGGCTGAGTGGCAGAACCTGGGCACTACTGCCCACCTGGAGCTGGAGAGACTGTCACACCCACTCTCTGTTGTACTACCTTGCTTAGAGTTGGGGCAGCTTCCAGTTGGTGGGTGTCAGTGGTATCAGCAGCTTTACTGGAGGCAGAATTTGAGAGTTCAGCAGCAGTGAGTCAATCCTGGCCCCATCCAAAGGGCGTGACAAAGGGAGGGTGTCTACAGCCTGGCAGGGCTGGAGATATACTTGGATAGGACTAGGAAGCTGGTCACCCTTCCCTCCTTCCCTGCAGAACAGCTCCTACCTATCCTGGAAGACTACCCAGAAAGGAGTTTCACCCACAATCTTGCCTATACCTGCCTACAGAGGTCCTGAGAAGGGACAGATGAGACTGGAACCAGCAAGATGGCTCAGCAGGCAAAGGCACTTGCTGTCAGGTCTGATCTGATGACCTGAGTTCCAGTCTCATCCACATGATGGAAGGAGAGAACCAACTTGGGCAAGTTGTCCTCTAATCTCCACCGGTGCACTGTGGCATGAGTGAGCCTGTGTGCACACACACCCATACTCACCCATACTCACCACCACTAAATAAATGTAAAGTTTTGAAGTTTAAGGTGAGATGCCCTCCCCATCCTGGGAATATAAAACACACACACACACGAGAGAGAGAGAGACAGAGAGAGAGAGAGAGAGAGAG